GTATTATAAAATTAAAATTATATTTCTATTATCTATTTACCTAATTATAATTAAGTACCTAAGTACTTAATATTGTCTTCATAAATGACAAGTCTTGAATAAAATAAATGTAAGAATAACGATTGTACAACATTTTATCAGGTAAAGTTAAAATAACTATCTAAAAATATCTAACTACAAATTATATGCTGTTTTTTTCATTTAATTGTTACATACTATATAGTATATGGTATAATATTTAAGCAAATTTATACCCAATTTTAATTTATATGAAACTATAATGGCAGTACCCATGGTTTAAAAATGTTTTGTYTGTTCTTTCTATACTAGATCCAGAACGTAAATGTCAATATTATGCCAATATATGTAGAGACTGTAAAGTACTATAAAATCATTTAACGGCAATCATATAATATTATTGATAATATGTGTAAGTGTGAAAACTTAATTAAAAGAAAAAAAATATCGAAACATTTTCAATTATTGTGACTTTTTAAAAAAAATTTTTTAGTTTACAGTTAAAACGGCGAAACACTAGATTGTATCCGAGCGGCGAGTCCACCTCTACGGCCAATGGCTATATCTTCACGGGACACTCTATATGTCTCTATATAATATTATAATACATACAATATACCTAGAATAGTACCTACTATAGTAGGTACCTACTACTTACGTACAGCTAGGTACTCGACACTCGTAATTTAAATTTATCAACCTAATTAACTTATTACAGATTTGGAGAGGTACTTACCCGATGTTGATAAATATTGTACAGAAACAACCTTTTTTAATTTTGAAGCATGGACGTAAAACCGAATGCAAAACGTCCAACGAAATACATTAATAAAGACAATCAATTTATTCGCTACTGAATGGCAGGTAATGAGTGCATTTCACTAAAAAAAAAAAAAACCAAAACGATAAGTGGTTATAATAAATTATAAGTCAAYAACGACGGAGCTGTGACATGTGAGCACACTAACTCCGTGATCGGTTCTGTGGTGCTCGAGAACGCGGTGTCTCGGGTGACCGGAATTTGCTGARTCTCAGTCTTTGTAGCGTATTCTCTGAATCCCACTGTCACGTGCARGCGTCCCCAAAGCATTGCTGACACGGTTGTACATCGTATTATAATATAAAACGATTCTGATTAAAAATCAAAAACACCATACAAGACACGACGRTAGATTATGAATAGGTATCTAGTTACCAACGACCACCCAATATAATCGTCATCGTATCATGATTTTGAAAAACAAAAAAATCACTACCTACCGATAGAGTTTTTTTTTGACATATTAACAATTATATTTTCTGGCTTGCTTAAAAATGGCGACAGTACAATAATTTTGGTGGGTACCTACGATTTATTCTGAGAAAAGTATATTATCGGTGCATATTTTAAAAACAAAAATATTTTAATTGATACGCGTCACCATTTTTTTTTACTCGCGTGMATTTTTTTAAGGACTTATCTACAATCTACTTCATATAATTTATAATAATAATACTTTTATAATTAATTATAATATACCTACTTGGTTACTTATATAATAAAGTTTTATTAGTACTTAGTTGGTATAATTATTCTAAATTATCATAGTCACTGTTTGTTAATTAATAAAATTTTTTTTTAATTTCAATGAGGCTATTATTCAGATAGGAGACGTAAAGAAAACAAGACAAAACACGGTTTTCGTACAACTTTACCCTTTGGCCTCTAGTAATAATATTATCGTACTCAAAACTATATGAAATACAATTTGTCGAGGAGAGAGAGAGAGACTATTTATACCAATTGATTTTATTCTGCAGTTGTTAATGATATGTATATAATGTTCCTATAAAGTTTATAGTATAAACAATAGGTACAATCGTACAAATATGATTAGATTCAAAATACTATATAATTTAGTATTTACTTTGTATGTTTTAGGTATAAACCGTTGTGTAGATTGTAGGCACAAAGTTTAAAATATATTATTAGATTATTAATACATTAAAAATAATGACATGAAGTTTGTACGCACTTTCTTTAAATATGAGTAAAATAACACCATTATGATGTAATTTTATTATTAAGAATTATCGTTATTATATTTCTATAATAATTATTTCAAAACTAAGTTTATAATAATAAGAGGACATCTCACTGGTTATATTGTTCAGAGAATGAACATGTATATATTGTTATGCTATATTATCATATAGGTACTATAAATCTATAAGCTATAATACTACTTTTCTAGCAACTATTAAGTATAGAGATAATTTATAAGATATCAATATTGTGAAAATCAAAAAAAGGTAGGTAGCCTGTATTATATTATTTCCTATATTTTTTAAATATTTGTTTGACAAAAAGAAACAATATTGCTTAAAAAATAATTATATATTATACCTATATTACATACATATTTTATTATTGTGAAATACACTTATTGAGAAAAAATCCGGACATAATATTGGATACTAATATATACTCTCTCAAAAATATTATCTCTAATTTCAATACAAAATTTCATAGGTAGCTCTAAAACCAAACTATTTTTTTGTATAGAAAAAGTATAATATTCGCGATTTGGAGATTCATAAWACATTTTAGTAAGGAGTTCTGTATAGGCAATATTTAAGCTAAGTAGATCGATATCATCTATCACACCATTCACACCGATCTCAGCGTCGTCTTTAAGTTTTCCAAAACCCCGGAAAATACTGATAATTCAGACCACGACCACCTTTATTATAAAATTGGGTTAAAA